GGAATGGATTTCCAGAGGAAAAATTGCAGACTACAGGAACCAGGAGCACCACTCAGGTGACCCTGAGGACACAGATAAACCTCCAAGTGCTTCAACAGCCCTCAAAAAAGGATGCAACTGACCAGCTGTCTGCAAGGAATATAAATCCTTCCATTCCCCACTATCTTGTCAAAGCAAAAGAAGCTTCTTGGATGAGAAGTGAAACATCTTCAAAGAAAAAACAAGGAAGTCCAGTTGCCTCCTGAAAAAGCACCAGTTGCCTCCTGAAAAAGCACCTTTGGGTCAAGAGGAGGTATCAAAGATTCTTTTTTCATGAAATACATTTCTGATGTTTGGTTCCACCACAAAACCGCGTTCGACTAAAGCGCGCTTGACGAAACCGCATAGCTGACATCATCACAGGGCGACAACAGCACGGAGACAGAAGCACGCTGTAAACGCTAAACCTAAAATTAACCCCTAAACCTAACCCCCCTAAACCTAACCCCCTTAAACCTAATCCTAATCCTAAACCTAACCCTAAACCTAACCCTAAACCTAACCCTAAACCTAACCCTAAACCTAACCCTAAACCTAACCCTAAACCTAATCCTAATCCTTAACCTAACCCTAAACCTAACCCTAACCCTAAACCTAACCCTTAACCTAACCCTAAAGCTAACCCTAAACCTAACCCTAAACCTAACCCTTACCTTAACTTGAATCGGCTTGCTTTCAAAGCGCTATTTAAAGCGCCCTTCTTTCTGTTGTTGCCCTGTTGATGACGTCAGCGACGCGGTTTAATCGGGCGCGCTTTAGTCGAGCGCGGTTTTGTCGTGCCACGAGGGAATATGTGCAAATAATCATTTTGAGTCAACAGTTATATAGCTGCACTAAAGGGCAATTGGGATTTTAGGTTTCATGCACTTCTTCATGAGACTTTTTTTGAAGTTTCAGAGTCAACTCAACTTCTGGGCTCCACTTTAGCTACTCTGAGAGGTGAGTTGATTGTTTTCCTAGCTCTGCAGCCGTTTATTTGAAACCAGAACAAAGGCAGCGTTTTTCTATGCAACATTCCAAATTCATCTTCAAAAGCTTTTATGAAACACAGCAGGAATGGTTGAAAAACAACTTTGAAGTTTACAAACGATCATTTTTCACGTAGATTTTACAGAGGCTCCCATTATAGCACCTGAGTGAAGGGAGAGGGGTGAGGGATTCAGCTAGCTGTTTAATAAGGACAATTACAAAAAAAAAAACCATGCCAGGACCTGTTGGAGCTTGATGGATGACACGTTGATAGAATAATTTCTTTGTGGATTGGCTTCAATAGAAGTGACAATCACAAGCCAGTATTGAACTGCTTTGGTCAGGCTGAAAAGTGAAAATGAGGATGGTGTAGAAGGGCTCATATATTCCAAATCATGGGAAATAATAGCTCC